ACGTCAAAACCATTTATGAGTGAATGGGAAGTTGACGTCGTTTTCGGGTTTAACATTAATTTTTATTTAGATAAAATTCACTTGAATTTTTTCAATAAAAATTATTGTGGGAATTTAATTTAATTCTAAATTCAAATTTTTGGGTTCCTAAGTAGTTTCCTAAAAGTTTGTACCTCTTCCTTTATATATTAAACTATTTAAATAGTTTAATAAATAAAGGAAGAGGTACAAACTTTTAGGAAACTACTTAGGAAACCCAAAATTTGAATTTAGAATTAAATTAAATTCCCACAATTACAAACTTTAGGAAACCACTTAGGAACCCAAAATTTGAATTTAGAATTAAATTAAATTCCCACAATTACAAACTTTAGGAAACCACTTAGGAACCCAAAATTTGAATTTAGAATTAAATTAAATTCCCACAATTACAAATTTTAGGAAACTACTTAGGAACCCAAAATTTGAATTTAGAATTAAATTAAATTCCCACAATAATTTTTATTGAAAAAATTCAAATGAATTTTATCTAAATAAAAATTAATGTTAAACCCGAAAACGACGTCAACTTCCCATTCACTCATAAATGGTTTTGACGTTCCGTCTTCACCGTGTGACTTGCCACGCAGCAAGGAACACGTCACCTCTTCGGACCCACCCCAAAAGACGTTTGGGGCCCACTCAAATTGAGCTAAAAAATATGCCTATATTAAACCATTTTTTCCAACAGTATGTTGAATGGAGCACTGGCACCTGTTCAGAAGGAATTTGGCATCCTCAATAATGGCTCGATAAGGTGAACTGTTGGAAGCACTTTCCGTGAGCATTTCCATAGCATTGTGAAAGTTTGTTTCAGTGATGATATTGGATAGCCCTTTTTGCATAATAATGGTCAGCCCTCTGTATATCCCCCAGATCTCTGCTTCTAGGCTAGTACAATGGCCTAGGTACCCATGATAGCCCCATATCCAAGAGCCAACTTCATCTCTGAGTAGTCCACCGTAACCTGCCTGTCCTGGATCCCCTTTGGAGCATCCATATGTATTGAGTTTAAGTTTTCCTGCAATGGGACAAGACCAAACAGTTAGTACAGAATTCAAGTAATTTGGATTGAGGGCATTCCGAAAAGCTTGTTGAGTTGCCCCTGCTTGCTCTAGGATGAGTTTGGCACTTATAAATGGGGATTGAGTTTGGTTCTCAAAGACTTAGTTTTAATAAGCCAAGTGATATTTACTAATAATTAAGAGAACATGATGTAAATAACTAAAAATAAAAACACATATCACTTGGCTTATTAAAACGCCCCACTAGCACGACTTGCACGCTACTCAATTCAACTAATTAATCATTTAGTCAAACCGTTATTTTTACGCAGCCGTTTGGGTTGATAATGCAAATTATTTAAAGACAAAAAAAAAAAAGCCAAAGGCAAAGGCTTTTTGCTAAATTTTTACGCAACCTTAAGCTTCGTTTGGGAACAGATTATTTTAGTAATTTTTTAATTTTTTTGTTAAAATATGAGATAAAAAAATTAATATATTTGGGATGATTTTTTGGTTTTTATAAAAAGATGTGCAAAAAATAGAGAGAAAAATGAATCTTTGACTTTTTGGTATAAGTTATACACTTTTTGGCTTTTTTAATAACTTTTTGACTTTTTGACTAAAATGTTAACTTGTCAAAC